AGAAGAAAAGCAAAACTTGACAGCTGATGTTTTCCTTCAGTACCTTTCAGTACTTGAAAGGGCCTTTGATAACAATGAGGATGAACTTTTAGCAGGGCCTGTTGCCATAGGACAAGGGGTGATGGTTTTAAACTGAAGGAGGGTCAATTCTGATTATATCTAAGATGCTTTTTATCATGAGGGTGGGGAGACCCTGGCACAGGTTGCCCAGAGAAGCTGTGGCTGCCCCATCCCTGGAAGTGTCCAAGGCCAGATTGGACGGGGCTTGGAGCAACCTGGGCTAGTGGAAGGTGTCCCTGGGTTGGAACTGGATGACATTTAAAAGGTCCTTTCCAACCCAAACTATTTTCTGATTCTGTGATCACATGAGGAGAAAAGCATTTTCCTGTGTATTTTAACGGTGCCTGTTCTCCTCCAGGACTGTGCTGTGAGCAGGTGGCAGTGCCTGGAATAGCTGCACCCTGAAATCAAACTGTGGTTTATCCAGACCTTGGAACTCCTTTACTTGGATCAAACCGGGTGCAGGTTCCAGTAGATTGGTGCTACCTGAACCAACAGACCCGAGGGGCTTCTGAGCAATATCTGACCCCTCCAGCCAGCACAGAAGCCCTGACAGATTCCTGGTTGCCCTGAGGTGTGTCTGGCTCCTGGGAACAGCAGCAGGCAGGTGTAGAGGTAATTTTGCTGCAGCACTACAGTTGCTCTGCTCCTCCTCAGCTCTTGCCTACCTCCCCTTTCCCTGACCAGGCTCACTCTCCCTGCCCTGCCTGTGTGGAATTAGCCATGTTGAGATGCTGTAGCTGTGTGGAACACAGGCCAGCTCTGGATCTGAGGGTGGGGCTGTGATGGTGACAAGAGCCTGTAGAAATGAAGGACTGGGTAGGAGGTGGGTGGGGGGTGAGCTGTGATCAGCTCGAGCCCTTCAGGGACATTGATGGGGACGTCAGCCATGAGCTTGGTGGTCCTGAACTGCTTGTGCTGGACTTGAACTCACTGAGAGCAAGCATGTGCCTTTTTCTGACCAGGAACAGAGCTGGAAAAACCTGTGTTTGCATTGGTAGGATGGTTAGTGTTTTTCTGGAACTGTTTTTAAAGCTAGAAGTGCTTGGTCAGAATGGAGTTGGTTTTGTGTTTGAATTATTTAATCAAAGCGAGCCCTGAATTATTTGTGAATTAGAACTACCCAGAGAGGAGAAGCTTTTAAAATAAGTGGTTTCTGAAGAACAATGTCCATCAAATAAACCTACTTCCTGGTAGACTTGCAATTTTTTTAAGATAAAATTTAACCTTGATGTGTTTATCCAATGAGAATCATTAATTCTGCCTTTCTTTGAATGTTGCCTGTCCAGTGATGTCCTCACTCTTTACTGTGCTCCTGCAGCTTTCCATACACTCCATTGCTTCTCCCCTCTCAGGGATGTGGGGAATATTGTCCAGTGAATGTTGGGGAGCAGTGCAGAGCTCTGATTCAGTGGGAATGTGGAGGTAAGGGTTAAACATCACAGATAATTCCTCAAGAAGCAGTTTGCCAACAGCAGGGAACAGAATCATGTGGTCGTTGAGAGACAAAGTGGTGTGAGGGGAGGAACAATCCCTCATCCTCTGACACCAGGTACCTGTTTTAGACAGTGTGCTGTGCAGAATTAGACACCTGTGTCCTTAGATGCCAGTTTGGGCTTAAAGCTGCTAAAAAAAGTGGATTTTCAGACCAAAATGGAAGAGTTTTTCCATCAGGTTCTATTTGATGCAGTTTTGAGATACTGGGGAGTTGTGCAGCCAGGAGCTCCAATACCAGCTGGCTCTGGAGCGAGTTCCCTCTCTGACCTGGGGGAAGCGACCGCCTCGATTTTCATCTAGAAAATGTTGGTGATGGTTCGTGTCGCCTTATGAGAGTGAGTTACTGGGTGTTCTGGGGTTGAACTATGTCGTGGCAATGGTAACTGCTTGACACAAACCTGTGCACCTCTTGCACGTTTGCATCTGCAGTGAATCTGGTTCTGTTTGGAGCCTGTGCTCTTCCCTCCCATCACAGCTCTGCCCGAGGCCGAAGGCACTCGGGGTCGATCCCGTGATGTTTGACATGTTGCTTTCTTTTCAAATAATCCATTTCTTGTAAAACAGACAGTCAGAAGGCAAGTTTATTTAAATGGAGGGGCTTTTTTCATTGCTGAGAAGTATACAGGTCTTTCAAACACATCTGGCAGTTGAAAAATTAACACTGTAACACTATCTAGCAACACAAATACACAGACTGTGTTGAGTTTAGGGCTATGCTGGCCCATAAATCATAGGTCCACAACCCATTTACATACAGGTGTGCAAAAATTAGCTTTTAAAATAGTTACTAATAAAGTTTCCTTATGCTTACACTTGCAAATCTCTTGAATATCTTCAAAACTAGTTTCTTTGATAGAAAAATCCGTGTCTTGCTGGTTAGTGTCCGCTCAGACCTAATAGCAAAGTGATGCCCACTGGAGCAGTGGAGAATTTAAAGGACTTTTGGGAGTTTTGGAACCCAGTGGAGTGCCAGCAAAGTGGAAACTTGAGTAGTGCTCTTCAGGTAGTGAGGAGAATTGAACACCCACAGAACTCGGTGAGAGGAACCAACTTTGCAGTGAAGAATGGCTTCTCCTGGGTACTCAGTTTTGTACATCACTCCCCTCCTGTGGCTGTAGTGTTTAGCTTTCTTTGACTTGACTTCTGTTTTGCAGCGAAATCTTCTGATTTTTGCAGTTTTCAGTGTTGAACCTCACCTTGAGACAACTTCATGTTGTTTTCCTGTAGAAAAAAACCTGCTTCTAGCTCGTTGCGTTCGGTGTCTGTGTGCAGGCAGGTGTGAAAAGGGAGCTGCAGCACAGCAGTGGAGCTGGCAGAGCGAGTTTTGGGTTGGAAATGTTGAGTTTACAGGCACTGGCGTGCGGATCAGCATTCCATGGATGCGGTGACGCTTTGGGCTCACAGGGTACAGACCCTCCGTCTGTTGTTCTTGTCCCTTCCCTTGGTGGGAGCAGTTCAGCTCCCCCAGGTAACCTCGTGGTGGATAAATGGTGCTTGTTGGGGAAAAACTGGGCTGTTTACCTGGCTGGAGGTGTCTGATCATGGACAAGAACGTTGTCCTTTAAAGCTTTCACAGAAATCAGTAGCATTTGGTATGAGCCAGTCTAGAAAGGATCTTCAGAAGAAGGTGGCTCAGGTGGCATCGTGTGTGCCATACACATCGTTGGCCAGTGAGCTGGGTTAGTTTTGGAAACTGCTGGAAGAAATGTAGCGCATAGAAATCTTGCGTATTTAAGATCATGTGTTTAAATTGTTAAAAAAAAAAAGGAAAGAAAAAAAGAAATCATGCTGTTTGGGATTCCTTTTCCCAATAAAATTCTAATAAACCAGCCCGGGGGATCCATCCCCTCCCATGTGTCTGCTCTCTCTCATATGCTGGTAACTGCTCCCCTGTTTTGGTGTCCCGTTGCTTCGGCAGGAGCGTGAATGTGTTCCCACCGTGAAGGTCCTGGGGGCTTTCGAAGCAAAAGGGAATTATTTTCAGGAGTAAAGCAGAGCTGTGACTTGAGACGTTGCACAAATAGATTGTAGATGGGTGGCAAACAAACTGGTAAAAGCCTTTATTTTTACTTAACCATCTTGACCATGTGTGCCTCTTTGTACCGCGGGCGTGGGCTGCAGCCGTGCGGGGTGGGAGGGAACGTGTTGGTGTTTGAGATGTACTTGCTAAGCAGAAGCCGTGTCCTCTGCCCCTTCTCCCTTTCCGGAAAAATTGTTCTTGCCAAAATTTTCTACCTGTTGCAAGAGTTGCTTTCTTTCCAGCACAGTAAAATGTCGACTTCTTTCACTGTTCCTTCCCTCTCGTAGGCATCTGTAACCTCTGTACGACTGTGTA